AGGATGAGGGCGAGCAGCCCTCGCAGAGAGGTGAGCGATGAGGGGCGAGCAGCCCTCGCAGAGAGGTGAGCGATGAGGGCGAGCAGCCCTCGCAGAGAGGTGAGCGATGAGGGGCGAGCAGCCCTCGCAGAGAGGTGAGCGATGAGGGGCGAGCAGCCCTCGCAGAGAGGTGAGCGATGAGGGGCGAGCAGCCTCGCAGAGAGGTGAGCGATGAGGGGCGAGCAGCCCTCGCAGAGAGGTGAGCGATGAGGGGCGAGCAGCCCTCGCAGAGAGGTGAGCGATGAGGGGCGAGCAGCCCTCGCAGAGAGGTGAGCGATGAGGGGCGAGCAGCCCTCGCAGAGAGGTGAGCGATGAGGGGCGAGCAGCCCTCGCAGAGAGGTGAGCGATGAGGGGCGAGCAGCCCTCGCAGAGAGGTGAGCGATGAGGGGCGAGCAGCCCTCGCAGAGAGGTGAGCGATGAGGGGCGAGCAGCCCTCGCAGAGAAGGTGGAGCGATGAGGGAAGGAGGAGGTGAGGGGCGAGCAGCCCTGGCAGAGAGGTGAGCGATGAGGGGCGAGCAGCCCTCGCAGAGAGGTGAGCGATGAGGGGCGAGCAGCCCTCGCAGAGAGGTGAGCGATGAGGGGCGAGCAGCCCTCGCAGAGAGGTGAGCGATGAGGGGCGAGCAGCCCTCCCAGAGAGGTGAGCGATGAGGGGCGAGCAGCCCTGGCAGAGAGGTGAGCGATGAGGGGCGAGCAGCCCTCGCAGAGAGGTGAGCGATGAGGGGCGAGCAGCCCTCACAGAGAGGTGAGCGATGAGGGGCGAGCAGCCCTCGCAGAGAGGTGAGCAATGAGTGGCGAGCAGCCCTCGCAGAGAGGTGAGCGATGAGGGGCGAGCAGCCCTCCCAGAGAGGTGAGCGATGAGGGGCGAGCAGCCCTCGCAGAGAGGTGAGCGATGAGTGGCGAGCAGCCCTCGCAGAGAGGTGAGCGATGAGGGGCGAGCAGTCCTCCCAGAGAGGTGAGCGATGAGGGGCGAGCAGCCCTCGCAGAGAGGTGAGCGATGAGGGGCGAGCAGCCCTCGCAGAGAGGTGAGCGATGAGGGGCGAGCAGCCCTCACAGAGAGGTGAGCGATGAGGGGCGAGCAGCCCTGGCAGAGAGGTGAGCGATGAGGGGCGAGCAGCCCTCGCAGAGAGGTGAGCGATGAGGGGCGAGCAGCCCTCGCAGAGAGGTGAGCGATGAGGGGCGAGCAGCCCTCGCAGAGAGGTGAGCGATGAGGAGCGAGCAGCCCTGGCAGAGAGGTGAGCAATGAGGGGCGAGCAGCCCTCGCAGAGAGGTGAGCGATGAGGGGCGAGCAGCCCTCGCAGAGAGGTGAGCGATGAGGGGCGAGCAGCCCTCGCAGAGAGGTGAGCGATGAGGGGCGAGCAGCCCTCACAGAGAGGTGAGCGATGAGCGGCGAGCAGCCCTGGCAGAGAGGTGAGCGATGACGGGCGAGCAGCCCTCACCGAGAGGTGAGCGATGAGGGGCGAGCAGCCCTCGCAGAGAGGTGAGCGATGAGGGGCGAGCAGCCCTGGCAGAGAGGTGAGCGATGAGGGGCGAGCAGCCCTCGCAGAGAGGTGAGCGATGAGGGGCGAGCAGCCCTCGCAGAGAGGTGAGCGATGAGGAGCGAGCAGCCCTCGCAGAGAGGTGAGCGATGAGGGGCGAGCAGCCCTCGCAGAGAGGTGAGCGATGAGGGGCGAGCAGCCCTCACAGAGAGGTGAGCGATGAGGGGCGAGCAGCCCTCGCAGAGAGGTGAGCGATGAGGGGCGAGCAGCCCTCGCAGAGAGGTGAGCGATGAGGGGCGAGCAGCCCTCCCAGAGAGGTGAGCAATGAGGGGCGAGCAGCCCTGGCAGAGAGGTGAGCGATGAGGGGCGAGCAGCCCTCGCAGAGAGGTGAGGGATGAGGGACGAGCAGCCCTCGCAGAGAGGTGAGCGATGAGGGGCGAGCAGCCCTCGCAGAGAGGTGAGCGATGAGGGGCGAGCAGCCCTCGCAGAGAGGTGAGCGATGAGGGGCGAGCAGCCCTCGCAGAGAGGTGAGCGATGAGGGGCGAGCAGCCCTCGCAGAGAGGTGAGCGATGAGGGGCGAGCAGCCCTCGCAGAGAGGTGAGCGATGAGGGGCGAGCAGCCCTCGCAGAGAGGTGAGCGATGAGGGGCGAGCAGCCCTCGCAGAGAGGTGAGCGATGAGGAGCGAGCAGCCCTCACAGAGAGGTGAGCGATGAGGGGCGAGCAGCCCTCGCAGAGAGGTGAGCGATGAGGGGCGAGCAGCCCTCACAGAGAGGTGAGCGATGAGGGGCGAGCAGCCCTCGCAGAGAGGTGAGCGATGAGGGGCGAGCAGCCCTCGCAGAGAGGTGAGCGATGAGGGGCGAGCAGCCCTCGCAGAGAGGTGAGCGATGAGGGGCGAGCAGCCCTCGCAGAGAGGTGAGCGATGAGGGCGAGCAGCCCTCGCAGAGAGGTGAGCGATGAGGGGCGAGCAGCCCTCCAGAGAGGTGAGCGATGAGGGGCGAGCAGCCCTCGCAGAGAGGTGAGCGATGAGGGGCGAGCAGCCCTCGCAGAGAGGTGAGCGATGAGGGGGCGAGCAGCCCTCCCAGAGAGGTGAGCGATGAGGGGCGAGCAGCCCTGGCAGAGAGGTGAGCGATGAGGGGCGAGCAGCCCTCGCAGAGAGGTGAGCGATGAGGGCGAGCAGCCCTCGCAGAGAGGTGAGCGATGAGGGGCGAGCAGCCCTCGCAGAGAGGTGAGCGATGAGGGGCGAGCAGCCCTCGCAGAGAGGTGAGCGATGAGGGGCGAGCAGCCCTCGCAGAGAGGTGAGCGATGAGGGGCGAGCAGCCCTCGCAGAGAGGTGAGCGATGAGGGGCGAGCAGCCCTCACAGAGAGGTGAGCGATGAGGGGCGAGCAGCCCTCCCAGAGAGGTGAGCGATGAGGGGCGAGCAGCCCTGGCAGAGAGGTGAGCGATGAGGGGCGAGCAGCCCTCGCAGAGAGGTGAGCGATGAGGGGCGAGCAGCCCTTACAGAGAGGTGAGCGATGAGGGGCGAGCAGCCCTCGCAGAGAGGTGAGCAATGAGTGGCGAGCAGCCCTCGCAGAGAGGTGAGCGATGAGGGGCGAGCAGCCCTCCCAGAGAGGTGAGCGATGAGGGGCGAGCAGCCCTCGCAGAGAGGTGAGCGATGAGTGGTGAGCAGCCCTCGCAGAGAGGTGAGCGATGAGGGGCGAGCAGTCCTCCCAGAGAGGTGAGCGATGAGGGGCGAGCAGCCCTCGCAGAGAGGTGAGCGATGAGGGGCGAGCAGCCCTCGCAGAGAGGTGAGCGATGAGGGGCGAGCAGCCCTCACAGAGAGGTGAGCGATGAGGGGCGAGCAGCCCTGGCAGAGAGGTGAGCGATGAGGGGCGAGCAGCCCTCGCAGAGAGGTGAGCGATGAGGGGCGAGCAGCCCTCGCAGAGAGGTGAGCGATGAGGAGCGAGCAGCCCTCGCAGAGAGGTGAGCGATGAGGAGCGAGCAGCCCTCGCAGAGAGGTGAGCGATGAGGGGCGAGCAGCCCTCACAGAGAGGTGAGCGATGAGGGGCGAGCAGCCCTCGCAGAGAGGTGAGCGATGAGGGGCGAGCAGCCCTCGCAGAGAGGTGAGCGATGAGGGGCGAGCAGCCCTCCCAGAGAGGTGAGCGATGAGGGGCGAGCAGCCCTCGCAGAGAGGTGAGCGATGAGGGGCGAGCAGCCCTCGCAGAGAGGTGAGGGATGAGGGACGAGCAGCCCTCGCAGAGAGGTGAGCGATGAGGGGCGAGCAGCCCTCGCAGAGAGGTGAGCGATGAGGGGCGAGCAGCCCTCGCAGAGAGGTGAGCGATGAGGGGCGAGCAGCCCTCGCAGAGAGGTGAGCGATGAGGGGCGAGCAGCCCTCACAGAGAGGTGAGCGATGAGGGGCGAGCAGCCCTCGCAGAGAGGTGAGCGATGAGGGGCGAGCAGCCCTCGCAGAGAGGTGAGCTATGAGGGGCGAGCAGCCCTCCCAGAGAGGTGAGCGATGAGGGGCGAGCAGCCCTCGCAGAGAGGTGAGCGATGAGGGGCGAGCAGCCCTCGCAGAGAGGTGAGCGATGAGGGGCGAGCAGCCCTCCCAGAGAGGTGAGCGATGAGGGGCGAGCAGCCCTGGCAGAGAGGTGAGCGATGAGGGGCGAGCAGCCCTCGCAGAGAGGTGAGCGATGAGGGGCGAGCAGCCCTCGTTGAGAGGTGAGCGATGAGGGGCGAGCAGCCCTCACAGAGAGGTGAGCGATGAGGGGCGAGCAGCCCTGGCAGAGAGGTGAGCGATGAGGGGCGAGCAGCCCTCGCAGAGAGGTGAGCGATGAGTGGCGAGCAGCCCTCCCAGAGAGGTGAGCGATGAGGGGCGAGCAGCCCTCGCAGAGAGGTGAGCGATGAGGGGCAAGCAGCCCTCGCAGAGAGGTGAGCGATGAGGGGCGAGCAGCCCTCGCAGAGAGGTGAGCGATGAGGAGCGAGCAGCCCTCGCAGAGAGGTGAGCGATGAGGAGCGAGCAGCCCTCGCAGAGAGGTGAGCGATGAGTGGCGAGCAGCCCTCACAGAGAGGTGAGCGATGAGGGGCGAGCAGCCCTCGCAGAGAGGTGAGCGATGAGGGGTGAGCAGCCCTCGCAGAGAGGTGAGCGGTGCCACATTGCCGCCAGTTACAGCACGCCTGCGTGTCCCACCATATTTTCACCTGCACACACTCTCAGCACGACATGTGAGTGCTGGCGAGGGCTCTCTTGCGAACCACAGCAGACCAAAAACAATATGCCCCATCCTATCCACATGGCCTCCCCCCCCCCAAACCCCTCCCCCCCCCACCCCCCCCACGCCTATCACCCCCTTTCCCCCACGGTCCCAGAATCACAGAGCAGGCGTCCAGCCAGGCACGGCACGTGATGTGATATGCGGTGCTGGTGGGATACACTGGCCCAAATCCCTCTCCCCCCCACACACCCCCACCCACACCCACCCCCCCACCCCCCCCCCTCAACACGCTCCCAGCATCACGGAGCAGGCGTCCAACCAGGCGCACGACATGCGGGTGCTGGTGGGCGCGCTGGAGAACCACACCTATTCCGTGGCCACTGCAGTCACAGAGCACGTGGCTGTGCAGACTGGTAAGTGCGGTGCAGAGTGGTCAAGAGAGGTAGGGTGCTGGTGTCTGCCTAAGTTGTCTGCCTTGGTGGTCAAGAGAGGTGGGTAGGATGCTGGTGGTGTCGGCCTGTGTGTCTGTCAGTTCCGCTACCTGCGGTGGCCTGCTGCACTCACTGGGCACGTAGTGGTCCAAACCGGTGAGGTGAGTGGTGCGGTCTAGAGCGGTGCAGGGAGGTCGGGTGCTGACTGCTGAGATGCGATGCTTTAAGGGTGTGTAGTGCGGACGCTTCAGATGCGGCAAGACACCCTTGCTTCGCCTCATGCATGCTCGATTGTCTGTGTGTGTGTTTGTGTGTATGAGGGGGGGTGGGGGGGGGGGGAGGGGGGGAGGGGTTTGCGGGCGTGGGTGCGTGCGTGCGTGCGTATGCGTGTGTGTGTGCGTGTGCGTGCGCGTGGGCGTGCACGTGCACGTTTCATCACCAGGTCAGCTGCGCCAGCTGGCATCAGAGGTGCGCAACCACAGCTCCACAGTGCAATCCCACGTGGCAACGGTCATGGACGCGGTTGGAGAGGGGGGAGGCGGCAAAGGCGGGGACGACCTCAGCAAGGACCGGCTGGCGTCCATCATGGCGGCATCCGCGCGGTCGCAGGTGGGATTTGTTCACCATCACAGGCAAGGTGCAAAAAAACGGTTTTCGTTGTAAACGGTCCGTTTTTACGGTCGTTTTATACGGCAGATTTATGCAAATTCTACCGTTTTTTTGTGAGTTTTTTTTTCCCAGGTTTTTTTTCTTCTTTTCCCCTAAACTTAAAAAAACCGCTGCGAAACAGAGGGCCTGGTGACGGCGACAGCCGACGTGCATCTAAAACACCATCCTCGTCCTCCTAGACCTCCTTTCATTGTCCTTCTCGCCCTTCCTTCACCCTCCTAGTTGTCCTCCTCCTAGTCCTCCTACTCTTCTCCGGCTCTGCTCCTCCTCCTAATTGTCCTCCTCCTCCTCACCCTAGTCCTCCCCTTCCTCGCTCTAGTCGCCCTTCCTCACGCTAGTCCTCCTCACCCTCCTCACCCTCTATATAAAGCGAACCTCCGTTTTTTACGGCGGTATAAAAAAAAACGACCCTATAAAACGGCCTTTTTTTTGCACCAGTCAGAAAACACCACTTTTTACCGTTTTAATCGTATTAAACGGCCGTTTTATACGATTCCGTTTTATACGGAAAAAAAAAGTAAAAAAACGCCGTTTTTTTGCACCTCACAGTTGGGCTTTGTTCACAACCACAGGTGGTGAAGGGGGAAAGGGGATGGATGGTAGGGGAGGGCCGAGAGGGGGAAGGCAGTAAAGTGGTTAAGGAGGGGGCGAGGTCAGCAAGCACAGGCTGGCGTCCATCATGGTGGCATCCGCGCGGTCGCAGGTGCCGTGGGGATGATCCTCTGGACCTAGGGCTGCACGGGGGGAGGCGAGGGGTGGGGGAAGGCTAGGGGTGGGGGAAGGCGAGGGGTGGGGGCAAGGTAAAAAAAACGGTTTCCAAAAAAAACAGCCGTTTTTTTCGGGCAGATTGGGAAAAAAACGCCGTTTTTGTAATAGAGCATGTTGGAAAAAAAAAACCTGGGAATCACGCCAAAACGGCCTGGGGCATCGCGTATGCTTTATTGATTAACATGGCATCGAGAAACACACAAAAACACGGGTAAAATTGTAGTTCCCCTCTAATTCCTCCCTTTTCCTACTACTCCTCCGCCTCCTCCTTCTCCTCCACTTCCTCCTCCTCCTCCACTTCCTCCTCCTCTTCCTCCTCCTCCTCCTCCTCCTCCTCCTCCTCCTCCTCCTCCTCCTCCTCCTCCTCCTCCTCCTCCTCCTCCTCCTCCTCCTCCTCCTCCTCCTCCTCCTCCTCCTCCTCCTCCTCCTCCTCTTCCTCTTCCCCCTCTACCACCTCCTCCCCCCCATCAACCCCATTATGGTTCAGCTCCCATGGGTTGGCCCCTCCATGGTCCGCATCCTCCCCACTTCCATCACTAGCACTCTCAGCCTTCACCTCCTCCTCCTCCTCCCCCTCTGCCTCCTCATGTAAGGTACGTGGCTTCTTCTTCCCCTTCCCCCCCTTGGTAGGCTTTCTTCCCCGCTTCCCTGCCTTGGCCTTCCCCTTCTTCTTCCCCCTTCCCGCAACCATCCCAAAGGTCCACCAGTCAATGGTGCACCCGCCACCACACTCCGCCTAGCCCTCCTCCTCCTCCTCCCCCTCCTCTCCCACGTCCTCCCCTTCTGGAAGAGGGGCAGTGGGCTCGGGGCAGCCCTCCTTCGGGAAAGTGTTGACTTCGCACTTTTGCCGACAGGAGTGTACACCGAACTTGAGAATTTTGAAAACAAAACTAACATTGAAATGAACTACATTTGGTTTGAAAAAAACGGCCGTAAAAAACGGCCGTTTTTTTTAACCAATCCAAAAAAAACACTTTTTGAACCGTTTTTTTCGTATAATACGGCCGAAAATTACGATGCCGTATTAAACGGCAAAAAAATATAGAAACGCTGTTTTTTTTTACCTTGGGTGGGGGAAGGCGAGGGGTGGGGAGGGGAGGGGAGGGGAGGGATGGGGAGGGAGGGGAGGGATGGGGAGGGGAGGGAAGGGATGCACAGGGGAGGGGAGGGGTGGGGAGGGGAGGGGAGGGGAGGGGAGGGGTGAGGGGAGGCGAGGGGAGGGGTGGGTAGGGGTGGGGAGGGGAGGGGCAAATGCAATGACAGGCTGGCTTGCACCTAGGGGCTGAAGGAGGGGAGGGGAGGAGAGGGGGGACGGGGGGGGTGGGAGAGGGGGGACGGGGGGGGGGGAGGAGAGGGGGACGGGGGGGGGGGGGGAGGAGAGGGGGGACGGGGGGGGAGGGAGAGGGGGTGGGCGGCCCAGAAGGCAAGGACGAGCTGAGCTGACTATGATCATGCCTTCATCCGCCCGATAACAAGTGCACTGGTGAGGGGAGAGCAGGGGGAGAGCAGGGGGAGAGCAGGGGGAGAGCAGGGGGAGAGCAGGGGGGGGACTGCATGGGATGCATAAGTGCCAGTGGCCTGGGGGGGGAGGGGGGGGGCGTAGCTGCAGAGTGCATGTGGGCCTGGCCAACACCAACAGAGCACGTGCTGTCTCAGAGGAAGCGGGGTGTGAAGGAAATAGCTTGGAAGAGAAAAAGGTTGTTTGAGTAGGGAGCCAAGAGGCTCTTTTGTACAAAACAAGGAGCAAGAAGAGTTGGAAGGGAAGCTCTCCTATTGGCCATAAAGTGGACCAATGGGAGAGGTTGCTTGTAGGGCAAGCAACCACAAAGTGTGGTGCTCTCTGATTGGCCACAATGTGGACCAATGAGAGAGATTGCTTGGAAGGCAAGCAACCACAAAGTGTGGTGCTTGGTGATTGGTTGGTTCCTAGGACCAAGGACCATTTGGTTGGAATAGTGCCAACCAAATGTCTAGGACCAAATCCAATCTTGACCAACCCAAATGTGGGGTTGGTCAACCCAACCAACAACCCCCCAATAATTATAATGACTACACCTCCTAATCTAGGCATGCATGTTGTATAGATATATATTTTACAACAGGGTGGTGCTGCACTTGTGCTTGCATACCCGTTGTGTTGCTCCCTGTCGGCCCCATCCCCATTCCCATCCCCATCCCCATCCCCATCTCCATCGTCCCCATCATCCCCATCATCCCCATCATCCCCATCATCCCATCCCCATCCCCATCCCCATCCCCATCCCCATCCCCATCCCCATCCCCATCCCCATCCCCATCTCCATCATCCCCATCATCCCCATCATCCCCATCATCCCCATCCCCATCCCCATCCCCATCCCCATCCCCATCCCCATCCCCATCCTCATCCCCACTCACGCCCCCCTCTCACTTTCCCCGCCTCTCCCCTTCTCTTCTCCCTGTCGCTGGCCTGTGTGTGCCCGCTGCTCCCCTGTCGCCGGCCTGTGTGTGCCCGCTGCTCCCCTGTCGCTGGCCTGTGTGTGCCCGCTGCTCCCCTGTCGCCGGCCTGTGTGTGCCCGCTGCTCTCCTGTTGCCGGCCTGTGTGTGCCCGCTGCTCCCCTGTCGCCGGCCTATGTGTGCCCGCTGCTCCCCTGTCGCCGGCCTGTGTGTGCCCGCTGCTCCCCTGTCGCCGGCCTGTGTGTGCCCGCTGCTCCCCTGTCGCCGGCCTGTGTGTGCCCGCTGCTCTCCTGTTGCCGGCCTGTGTGTGCCCGCTGCTCCCCTGTCGCCGGCCTGTGTGTGCCCGCTGCTCTCCTGTTGCCGGCCTGTGTGTGCCCGCTGCTCCCCTGTCGCCGGCCTGTGTGTGCCCGCTGCTCCCCTGTCGCCGGCCTGTGTGTGCCCGCTGCTCCCCTGTCGCCGGCCTGTGTGTGCCCGCTGCTCCCCTGTCGCCGGCCTTTGTGTGCCCGCTGCTCCCCTGTCGCCGGCCTGTGTGTGCCCGCTGCTCCCCTGTCGCCGGCCTGTGTGTGCGTTTGTTCCGGGCGGTGCCCCTCGCAGCGCAAGACAGAGGCGTTTCTCTCCAGCCTGCTCAGCAGCGTCAAGGCCATCTCCAAGCAGATAGACGCTGTGAGTAAAGCATGGAGTGGTGCCACGTGTGCCATGTGTGCCATGTGTGCCACGGTGGCTTGTGGCTTCTGTGACTCAAAATCCGCATCAAGGCCATCTCAAAATAGATAGACGCTGTGCGCATGGAGGGCTACAGTGAGCATGGAGGGCTGCAGGGCAGGGATGCACTCGTTCAATGTCCCACATCGACTGAAAACACACCTGGCAAACGCCACCCTAGACTTCAATTTCAGATGGCCCACCCACCGCGATTCTAGCACCCTCCTTCACATCCCCCACACCATGTGCTTTTTTACTCTGACCGGCCTGCCATGGCATGGCATGGGATGGCATGGGATTGTTATGGGATGGGATGGGATGGGATGGGATGGGATGGGATGGGATGGGATGGGATGGGATGGAATGGGATGGGATGGGATAGCATGGCATGGGATGATAGCATGGGATGGGATGGAATGGGACGGGATGGCATGTGATGGTGACGACATGTGGTGGCATGTGATGTTGATGGCATGTGATGGCATGTGATGGCATGTGATGGCATGTGTTGGCATGTGATGGCATGTGTTGGCATGTGGTGGCATGTGTTGGCATGTGATGGCATGTGATGGCGTGTGTTGGTTTGTGTTGACATGTGATGGCATGTGATGGCATGTGATGGCATGTGATGGCATGTGTTGACATGTGATGGCATGTGATGGCATGTGATGACATGTGTTGACATGTGATGGCATGTGACGGCATGTGATGACATGTGTTGGCATGTGATGGCATGTGATGGCATGTGTTGGCATGTGATGGCATGTGATGGCATGTGATGGCATGTGATGGCAGCAGCAAGGAGGAGCAGAGGGCGCAGCGGCCGGCACTGTGAGCGCTGTCGGCATAAGGGAGGCGGCAGCGGTTTCCAGGAAGCAGCTGCTCATCCTCAAGTCCCTGCAGGTGTGTGCGCATGTGAAGGGGGGGGAAGGGGGGTTGGGTGGACCTCAGATGCTGTTGCCGCTGCCAGCACTCTAGGCATGAGAGAGGGGCGGCTGTCCCCAGGAAGCAGCTGCTCATCCTCACATCGCTGCAGGTGTGTGTGTGGGGCAACCCATGTGCCACTGCTGCCCCATGCCCCCACAGTCACATGCCACTGCTGCCTCATGTCCTTATCACATTTCCCCATCACGCATGCATGCGTGCATCCCGCCTAGGCATGAGCAAAACCGGGTAATTACCCGACCCGACCCGGTTTTGCTATACCCGACCTCGGGTCGGGTATTTTCGGGTCGGGTCCGGGTCGGGTAATATGCCAAGGACTTTTACCCGGACCCGGTTTTTTTAGGCGGGTATTTTAATACCCGCCTGGCGGGTCCGGGTATACCCGACCCGGCATAGCTTAAAGGCGGGTATTTTAATACCCGCCCTTTCAAGAAGGCCTAAAGGAGGTTTTTTTTTTACAAATTATGGTTTTTTTTGTTCGTCTTACTGTCTCCTAGGGTTGAGACAGCAATATGGGCGTGGAAAAAAAAGGTTACACACATTTAAGGGGGTTTGTTGTCACCACCACGCTACACCTTACTTGTGATGCTTGCTCGGGTTTGGTATTCATTGGATGTAGATATACCTACTATGAATAAAGTGCACACAGTTCACTCTACGTATGTTCACAATCACTTGACAAGCATGATGCCATGTCTGCATGGCCCTAGAGCTCAATGCTGGGTCCGGGCATGGCACAATGAAGGACACGAATGTACGTCACAGGAAAAACTGTTCATAGGGCCTAACCCTGTACCCACGCCTCACAACCCCTCGTCGTCACCCTCAAGGCATAGCCCCCCCATGGCCCGATCCAATGTCGCCAGTGGGAGGCCGCCGTCGGCGCGCTGTGCCATCCATGACTTGAGAGTCATGGATGCACGCACCTGAGCAGTGCTCAGGCGGTGACGCTGCCAGGTGACCACGTTCCGCCCCTGACTGAACGCCCGCTCGCTTGGTGCCGAGGTTGCAGGGATGGCAAGGTAATCTCGTGCCATTGCCTGCAACCCCGGGTACGACGAGCGCGTGCGCCACCATTGCAGCGGACACCCGTCCATGTCCAAGCGCGCCTCCTGCAGGTACCTCTGAACCTCGTCCGGCGCGGCCACTCCCGTTCTCGCCTCAACCTCTGCCATTGCTGAGCCGAGCATGTCAAACAAGCGCCCCCCACCTCGGGCCCTGGCAACACTCCCCCCCCCCCGTCCCGCGCTCCCCCTGTGCTCGTCCCCTCCTGGCCCCCGTCCACCGCACGCCTGCTCTGCTCGTCCAGGTAAGACTGCAAGCGCGCCCTGACCCATGTCACCACCTGCTCCAATGTGACGTCGCGCACCGCCCTACGCCCCCCAACGGCCACTCCCGCTAGCTCAGGGTGGGCCCCCTCCCACCGTTCGAGCTGGAAGTACAGCTGCTTGAACCTGGGATCCAAAAATGTCGCCACTGCCAGCTCCATGCTGATGCCGTACACATACTTCTTCAGTACCTTTAGAGCTGCCTCCGACAACAGCTTGCACAGCTCCCCGGTACTGGGGTCGTGGTAGAGGCGCTCAAGCTCATCCATGAGCAGGTTAAACTGCGGCACCACTGCTGCGGCAGTGGGGTACAACGACCCCTCTGCCGCAGTAGTGATGTCATGGAAGGGCTTGAGGAATTCCACCAGAACCCTCAGAGCGTCCCAATGCGCGTCTGCGAGGCGGACACGCGCAGCCTGTTCGCGCGTCCGCTTGTCACGTGCCGACTGTGGAATGGGGGATTAAGAGGAACACGCAGTAGCAGAGGGGGAAACTCATATGCCGGGGGGGTAATACGCATGGGCGGACCTGGGAGACTGTCAGCATTTCCAAATGGATGAAAAAAATGCACGCGAATTATGGCAACCCAGGAGATTGGGAACCATACCTCGAGTCCTGAGAAGTACAGTAGGATAGGATCTTTCAGCTTCAGGAAGCGCTCCACCATCTCAAAGGACGACCCCCACCGCGTGGGGGTGTCACTGATGAGGCGGAGAACGTGGCCGCCCTGACCCGCCAGGCACAGCTGCTTGTCCTCGAACGCGTCCGAGCGCGTCGTGCTCCACCCAATGAACGACGCAATCTCCCGCATACGCTTGAGCGGCTCGAGGACTGCTGGGACACCAAGTGCCTTCTGGACCGCGAGGTTCAGAATGTGCGCCAGACACCTGAAGGGGGAAAGTCCATTGCATGGCACAACATTGTATGGCTTGGCATGGCATGGCATGGCATGGCATGGCATGGCATGGCATGGCATGGCATGGCATGGCATGGCATGGCATGGCATGGCATGGCATGGCATGGCATGTCATGGCATGGCATGGCGTGGCATGCCATGTCAACGCATGGCATGCCATGTCAACGCATGGCATGGCATGGCAACGCATGGCATGGCATGGCATGGCATGGCATGGCATGGCATGGCATGGCATGGCATGGCATGGCATGGCATGCACCACACACCTGAAGAAGAATCCAGGGTTCAACACTGGTGGGTTGCGGGCGTCCTCGGTCTCCGGGTCGCCAGTCAGGATCTTGGGCGCCTTGATGTTGTTCTCGGCATTGTCCGTCGTGATGCCGAGCACAGAGTCCTTCAGCCCCCAATCCAGTATGACTTTCTCCCATGTCTCTGCAATCAGCACCCCGATGTGCGATCCCTGAATCTCCTCAAACTCTAGCAGTGCGTGGCGCAGCTGAAAGTCTGTCGTGATCCAGTGCGCTGTGACGGCAAGGAAAGCGTCTTGCGCCGGGCTGGACCAAATGTCCGTGGTGAGGGAGACCTTCCCCGCCGCACCATCGCCGACAATGTCCTGCAGCTGGCGCTCACGCGCGGCGTCGCTCTGCACGAGCATGTCGCGAGCGAGGCGGAAACGGGAGCCGAGCATTTCTGCAGCGGGAGGATTGAGGAGGCGGGTGTAGCGGCGGAACTGGGGAAGGGGGGGCAGGGGAGGGAGAGGGGTGAGTAGGTGGACGTGTGCAGAAGTGCCGCTATACATGGTTGGGGTGATAATCCATAACGACACGTGGGAGGTTGAATATGCGCAGATGTGAACGAGCGCATGTGCTTAGAAACTTGTCTCCGTCAGTTCTTACCGAGGGGCAGTCGACCAGGCGAAACGGAAGGGCCGCGTCTGCGAACAGCTCGACAAGAGCGTGGCGCAGACGCTCCTGCGTGACGCGACGACCGAAGAACTGAGGGATCTGCCGTTGACCCGCCTCGGCACCCGCAACCGAACCGCCCGAGCCCGCACCAGGGAGATCGGGGTATGCGTCAGCGTGCTCCCACGGGTCTGGTCCGCCTGGAACCCCCGGGTACCCCTTCGCCGGAAACTCCAACCCCGGCTTCTTGTTGGGATCAGTGAATAGGCGATACCAGATCTGTAGGTGAGGCATGTGGAACGAGCGCATGTGCTTCCACGCCGAACCAGTGCTGCTCTCACCCCAACCAATCGGCACCTCGCATACCTTGCAGCATCGCGCCCCATCCTCCCCCTCTGGCTGAAAGAACATCCCCTGCATAAGCCCAGGGACAGTACCCCAGTAACCGATTGTCACCTGAGAGCTGTCGCTCGCTCGCGACCGCTTATGCTGTCCACCCGTGCCCCCTCCCCCCCCACGTGGGATGACAGGCCGCCCCGGCGCAGGCGTACCACACTCCGCATGACCCCCCTCCCCCACGCCCTCAGCATCCCCAAAGCGTGCTGCATCCCCACCACCGACCTCCAGCTCCCCCGCACTATTAGTGCCACTGCCGGCACCAATCGCCCCTGCCCTCCCCCCACCAGGTCCACCACGGCCGCGACCTCTTCCCCTCCCTCTCCCCCTTCCCCTGCCCCTCCCCCTCGCCCTCCCCCTTCCCCTCCCCCTTCCCCTCCCCCTCCCCTTGTCCGGTCCATCTCCTGACACCTCGTCCACCTCTTCCTCCGCATTGGGATGCCACTCCTGGTCACCCTCGCCCCCCCCCCCCCGTCCACCACCCTGCCCACCGTTCCCCCCCCCATGGGTTGCCCCATGCTCCCCCCCTCCTGCATCGCCCGCCTCCACCTCTTCCAGGAAGTCATCGTCCTCTCCCCCCTCATCCGCACGGACACCGCTCGCCAAGGCAAAACTCTGGCGGCCGCTAGGGAGAGGGAGGCCTGTCAGAGATGCTCCAAGCATGGCACCGCTTTGGAGCCCGCCACCCTCAACCCTCCCGCCCCCGAAAGGGACGGGACGCCCGTCATAGTCGTAGAACTGCATGATGTGACAGTTCCGAACCCTAAACTATGCGCTACAGCAAGGATTTCGAGTGGGCGAATAGTTCATGTAACTCTAGATCTCCAAAACCCTAACTCCCACGCGAAACCAAGTTCTCGCCTCCGTTTTGTGTTACCTAAACCCTAAGTAATGTTGGGAGAACACGTTTTAGGATGCGGGGAGTGTTTAGACTAATGCGGGTGCTGTAATAAGGTGGCGCGTCTATGGTAGGGATTGTACGAAAGTAGATCTGGAAAGTTGGGGAGGAAATTTCGACCAAATGGTCGAAATTTCCAACCCCCCGCAATTTAGGTCGCGCTGCTGCCGACGGGTAGCAGCGCGACCTGATTTCGGGTCGGGTATACCCGACCCGACTTCGGGTATTTACCCGAACTTGGGTATGTTATACTCGACCCGGCGGGTACCCGCTACCCGCCTCGACGGGCAGAAATTCGGGTAGCGGGTATCGATTACCCGCCCGGGTAACCCGGACCCGACCCGCCGGGTATATTACAGGATTTCAAATACCCGACCCGCCCTAAAAGCGGGTCTGGGTACCGGGTACCCGACCCGGTCGGGTAGTTTGCTCAACCCTAATCCCGCCCCATCTTTCTTGCGTGCGTTCCCTTACCTCACGTCACCTCACCTCACCTCACCTCACCACACCATGCATGAACCCACCCCCCCATCAGGAGTCAATGGAGGATCTCAAGTCAAGGCAGTCAATGGACTACTCCCCTCAGGTGAGCTTATACCTCACGGCTAGACATGATCAAAACGCTATTGCGATTTAAATCGCATCGCATGCAGGTACGATGTTTAAAAAAGCGATGCGATTTTAAATCGCATCGCGCGATTTATTTTTCCAGAAGAAAAAATCGCAAATCGCATTTTACCCGCGATGTTTAAAAAAATCGCATGCGATATTTAATTAAATCGCGCAATGCGATTTTAAATCGCATCGCGTTTTAAAACAGGATTAAAAAACACCCCAAAAAAACAGAAAAAAAAACATGGCTGCAAGGAAATTGACTCACGGGCAGTCGTAAGCTAGAGTGCAAATAACCAGTGTGGTTTCGTAGTGGGTTTCAGAGTGGGTTTCAATGCAATATCGCGCGCGATTTTTTTAAAATCGCATATCGCATTTAAATCGCGTTTTTTAACGCGATTAAAATGCGATTAAAATTAAATCGCGCGATATTAATTCATCGCATCGCGCGATGATTTAAAAAAAAAAAAAAAAAAACATCGCCATCGCAAAAACGCGATTAAATGCGATGCGATGCGATTTTTTTTGCCCATGTCTACTCACGGCCTGAACGAAGAAATGGCACTATTTGCACTATTTGCACGATTTGCCCGTAGTCATGAGCATTGCTCCGGGCTGGGCCTTGTGCTCATGCCGACTTGCACTTGGTCCATGCAACCAAGGCTTTAAGCTATGGCACTCGTGAGTCTCAGCTTGTGGCGTTTGAAGGGTCCTCCTCACCGTTCTTTCATGTGTTGGCAATGCAATCCCCGCAGCTTGCTCTCCTGCAACCCTGCCCTCTCCCCGTGTTCCTGAATCCCTTCATTTCACTCCATCCCTAACCCCTCCGTCTATGCTTCCATTCCATGCCATCGTTGCCCCCCTGACACCAACAGCTCATTCGCATCCTGGCAGTTCTTAAAGCCCTGGTGGCGCACATCAAGGCCGCCACAGCCAACAGTGGCTTGGGGCTGGGCCTGGGCGAGCAGCTGCCGCAGCTGCCCTCGCTGGATCTGGAGGTGAGTCAACGGTGGTTTGTGTGAGTCCATGCATTATTCAGCTGGGGCCTCTGAGTCAAGACATTGGCTTGGGGCTTGGCTTGGGTGCGAAGTTGCCACAGGTGCCTTGTTTTCGCATGGATTGTTTCGGCCTTGTTTGTGCCGTGGGGCTGGGCCTAGCCGAACAGCTGCTGCTGCAGCTGCCGCCGTTGGATCTCGACGTGAGTCAACGCATGTCCTTTCAGGGTAAAGGACTGCACTGGCCCTGGGTCTCCTCAGCAGGGGGGCCTGTGGCACAGCTGCCACAGCTGCCACAGCTGCCACTGCCACAGGCCCCCCTGCTGCTCACACGCTCCCTGTCCTTCCCTCTCCCTCACTCCCTCTCCCCCACACCCTAACCCCCCTCTCCTCACACAAGTCGGCTGCCGCAGCAAGTGCATGACAGCACGCGCGCACCTCTCCCTGTGGCTCACACGCTCTCTGTTCCACCCTCTCCCTCACTCCCTCTGCCTCTCACCCTCTCCCCCACTTCTCTCTCCCTCCCCTCCCCTCCCCCCTTCAGCTCCACCCACAGCTGTCAGCGCAGCAGACACAGAGCACGGAGGGTGTGCTGCACCACTAGCGAGCGATCGCGGACACACAGATGCTACTCTACCTCCCTCCCCCTTTCTACCCTCTGTCTTCCTCCCCAGCTCCATCCCCAGCTGTCAGCGCAGCAGGCGCAGAACACGGAGCGCCTGCTGCACCACGTGCTGGCTGAAGTGCGCTGGCCATCTCCCGTGCACTCGTGCACACATGTTGTCCCGTTGTTTGTCGTTGTCTTCCCCCTTCAGCTCCAGCCCCAGCTGTCAGCGCAGCAGGCGCACAACACGGAGCGCCTGCTGCACCAAGTGCTGGCGGAGGTGCGCAACAACACCCAGCTCGCCCTGCTGCTCCGCGCCGTTAGCACCCAAACCACCATCCTCTCGCGCTTAGCTAAGCGCTTCTCCTCCCTCCAGGCAGCGGCCTTCGTAGGCTCTGCTACTGGCGGGGTCTCCGCACCCCCCCCTCCTGCCGGGGCTGGTTCCGAAGCAGCAGGTTCGGGCTCGGCACTGAAATCCCTACAGGGGGTGGTAACCCTGGTGTTACAAAACTCCCAGAAGCACATGGCGTCGCTACGAGAGATGAAGAGGATGCTGACCGGGACGGAAGGGGAGCGCGGGGCGACATTCTCCCTGCCTGCCAAGACGTACGAGGTGGTGAGGGACAGCTCACACGCCGTGCAGCAGCTGCCCGTGCTCCTCATGCAAGTGAACAAGAAGCTCCAGAGCATTGTGATTGGCGGTGGGGCTGCGGCAGGGGGAGGGGCGGGAGGACGAGGAGGAGGGGGCGTAGGAGGAGGAACAGGAGCAGGCACGCAGCAGCAGTCACCGGTGCAGCAGCAGGTGGTGTCAGTGATTGACCCCCCCAAGCTGAGCGGCAGGGCAGCGCGGCACGAGCGGCTGAAGCAGCTGATGGCCCAGGCAGCTGCTGCGCGCGCGGCTAAGGAGCAGCAGGCAGCCGGCAAGCAGCAAGAGGCGGCAGCAAAGCCCAAGGAAGAGGCGGGTAACCAGCAGCAGCTGGGGGGAGGGGCTGGGATACAAGAGGGGGCAGGGCAGCAGCAGCAGGGAGGTCGGCAGCAGCAGGAGGGGACAGGCATGGGAGTTGTGGCAGTAGGGGCGGAAGCAGGAGGAGGGGGAGGGGGAGGGGGAGGGCAGGGGCGGGGGCTAGGGGGGAGGGCGCAAGGAGGAGAGGTTAGTGGTGATGGTGCTGGTGGCGGCGGTGCTGCTGGTGGTGGCGGTGCTGCTGGTGGTGGCGGTGCTGCTGGTGGTGGCATTGCTGCTGGTGGTGGCATTGCTGCTGGTGGCGGCAGTGCTGCTGGTGATGGCTCTGCTGGTGGTGGTGATGGTTCTGCTGGTGCTGGAGCTGGCACTGCTGCTGCTGCTGCTGCTGGTGCAGCAACTGACGCTGCAGGGAGAAGGGGCGGCGAAGGGGAGGAGAGGGGACAAGGAGAGAGGGGAAGGGAAGCAGGAGATGGGTCCGGAGGCCAGGAGCAAGTGGGAGGAGGGGGGGATAATGAGGGGGTGGGAGACAGGGGGAGGGGGGAAGGTGGGGCGGATGGCGAGGATGGGGGCGAGCAACGGGCGGCGGGGGAAGGAGAGGGAGCAGGGGCAGGGGACGGAGAGGAGAATGGAGCATCAAAGGGAGGAGAGGAAGGAGAAGGCGGAGCAGCAGGAGGAGGAACAGCAGCGGGAGGAGGGAGGGTGGTACCGATAGAGTGGGCGAAGCCAGAGGAGATGGACAGCGAGAGGGCGCAGCTGGTGTCGCTGCTGAAGGCGCGGCGCGAGGAGGAGGCGGGGCGGGGCAGCGAGGACAGCGGGGTGAAGGCGAGCGACGGCAGGGACGAGCCGCTGAGGCACAAGAGGAGGCGGAAGAAGCACAAAGCGGGGGAGGGGAAGGGGGGGGGGGGGGGGGGGTGGCAGGCGGTAAGGGGAATGGGGAGGGGGAAATGAGTGAGGAGGAGAGGGCAATGGCTGAGGCGAGGATGGCTGTGAGTAAAGAGAGGGGGGAGGATGAGGAGGAGGAGGAGGAGGGGGAGGGGGGGGAGGAGGGGGGGAGGGTGAGGAGGAAGGAGAGGAGGAAGAGGAGGAAGGAGGGGAGGAGGAGGAGGAGAAGAGTGGGCATGGACACAAGGGGCCCGAGCGCACAGGGCATGGGGGGGCCGGGGGGGAGAGGGGGCAGCAGGGTAAGAGCGGAAGGGAGGATGGAAGGGCAGGTGACATAGCGTCGAGGGAGAGGGGGGGAGGAAGAGGAGGGGAGGGAGGAGGAAGAGGATTGGTCGGAGGAGGAAGTGGAGGGGAGGGAGAGAGCAAGAGGAGGCTGGGAGAGGAAGACAGTGCGAGGGGAACTCAGGGGGGAGAAGGAGCAGGGGAGGCAGGAGGAGGAAGAGGAGGAGGAGGGGCGGGAGGAGGGGCGGGGCTGGCAGGTGGGCAGGGCAGGAGGAAGCGCATCCCCATGGAGCAGGCGGAGGAGCAGCGCGAGCAGCAGCGGCTGAGTGCCCGCACGGGGCTGCGGTTGAAGAGCATGGGCATTGAGGAGCTGCTGAGCCTGGACGACGAGGAGGATGAGGAGGATGAGGGTGGAGGAGGGGGTGGGGGAGGGGGAGAGGGAGATGGAAGGGGAGGGGGAGGGGGAGCAGTGGTGGGTTTGGACGGGGATGGGGTTGCAACGAGGGTTGGAGAGGAGGGGAGGAGCAGCGGGTGGGGGGGGGGCGAGGGGGGTGGGGACAGGGGCAGGGGCAGCAGGGACAGGGGATAAGGATGGGGGTGAGGAGTGGCGGCGGGGGTGCGGGGAAGGCGAGTGTGGGGAAGGCGATTCTGGATGATGCGGAGAGCGCGGAGGAGTGGCGGGAGCCCATGCCCGCGCAGGGGTACATTCCCCAAGGGCCGTATGCCAGTGAGTGGACTTTGCTGTGCTGTGATTCTTAAGGGACACCTAGTGTCCATAAGGGACACCTAGTGTCCATAAGGGACACTGGGTGATGCGCAGTGGAGAGTGAGGAGGAGTGGAGTGAGCCTATGCCCTCTCAGAGCAGCATCCCGGAAGGGGCTGTATGCCAGTTAGACATGGGCATGAGCCGAGCCTGGCTCGGCTCGGCTCGTCCAGGGGTCGAGCTGAGCCGGCTCGCCGTCGAGCCTGGCTCGGCTCGAGTCGAGCCGGGCACCAAACATGCCTGGCTCGGCTCGCATTTCTGTGGGCGAGCCAGGGCTGGCTCGACGGCGAGCCGGCTCGGCTCGACTCGCCTAGCATGCGCTTAAGCCAACAGTAGTGTGGGTGGAGCCTATGCAAGCACGCGTTGTTAAGAGTGGCGCGGGCTGCTTAAGATTTCTCGCGCGAACTAACCTAATGAGATACTCCTAGGCGCGCGGAATTCTAGGGTTCGCGAAATTGACGGGAAGTGGATTGTGAGGAGGAAGAAGGGTGCAAGAGGTTAGGTTGGAAGTTGTAGATGCAGTAGTGTGCAGTGCGGTTGAGCGGGGCAAAAGGGTTGGATGTGTCTTTGGTCGTCAAAGTTTGGGGTTGCGACTGGTTGAATTCGCGAGGTCGCAATGTCGCGGGAAAGAATTCCGCGTCAAACTTTTTGGGCGAGCGTTTAGCGTTTACCCTTTAAACGCAGCGTTTAAACGATAAACGCTGCACCGCTAGAGCGATTTCGGGAACATAGACTAGGAGTTGTTGGCGGGAGAGAGAAATGGGAGACACTTTTGTCGAGGGGGAAATTTACCCTTGAAATCGAGTGGCGAGCCACCTGGCTCGAAATCGAGCCGGGAACGAGCCGGCTCGACCCCGGCTCGACGAGGACATTGTGTACGAGCCGAGTCGAGCCGGCTGGCTCGACCGAGCCGAGCCGGCTCGGCTCGAGTCGAGCCAGATCCCAAAAAGAAAGGCTTGGCTCGTCATTTTGGCGAGCCGAGCCGAGCCGAGCCGGATATGGCTCGGCTTGTGCCCATGTCTAATGCCAGTGACTGCTTTCCGTGTTACTGACTCGCAATAGGCCGCCGATTCTAAATGAGTGCTGCTCTGCGGCCCCCTGCTGCTCACTGCGTTGCCAGTGCAGCTCCATGCCACCGCACACTCCCACATCCTCACCTACGCATGAGAAAAAGGCCCGGACAGGCCAGGCTGGCCTGGTCCGCCCCCGGGCCAAAGCTGGCCTGACCCTTAAAACCGGGCACAGGCTGGGAAGTTCCCGAAGTCGGCCCGACCTTGGCCCGGCTTGGCCTGCCCGAACCAAAGTCGGGCTGAGCAGAATCCGGCGGGGTGGGCCTTTGCTCAAGCCTAATGCAACGCTCATCCTCCTCTCCCTCCCTGCCCTCCCATCCTCCCCCCCCATCCTCCCTTCCGCCCCTCCCTCCCCCCAGACGCATCGGAGTGGCGGCAGCGAGTGCTTGCAGGCAACTCAGTGTTCACGAGGTTCAGGTGAATCAGAAAGGCACCCACCCAGAACTTGTCCGTCAGCCGCACTTGAGACCACCCATCCATGCTCGCACTTGAGACCACCCATCCATGCTCGCACTTGAGACCACCCATCCATGCTCGCACTTGAGACCATCCATCCATGCTCGCACTTGAGACCACCCATCCATGCTCGCACTTCCTGTGACCACACTCACCACGCAACCTTTGTACGCTGCTTGAGCTCTTTTGAGAAGAATCCTAACCGCCCACTCACCCTCTCCCATGCCCCACCCTCTTCTGTGGCCCACGCACCCCCATACCCCACGCCTGTGTCCCGTCCCCCCCCATACCCCACGCCTGTGTCCCGTCCCCCCCCATACCCCACGCCTGTGTCCCGTCCCCCCCCATACCCCACGCCTGTGTCCCGCACCCCCATACCCCACGCCTGTGTCCCGCACCCCCATACCCCACGCCTGTGTCCCGCACCCCCATACCCCACGCCTGTGTCCCCCCCCATACCCCAGTGGCTACCGTGTGGGCGCCCGCAAGCTGGTGGGCATTGGGGTGATTCCACGACCGATGAAGGGGCGGATGGCAGTAGAGCAGTGCAGGTGAGGGCAGGTGCGGGTAAGGGCAGGTGCGGGTGAGGGCAGGTGCGGGTGAGGGCAGGTGCGGGTGCGGGCAGGTGCGGGTGAGGGCAGGTGCGGGTGAGGGCAGGTGCGGGTGAGGGCAGGTGCGGGTGAGGGCAGGTGCGGGTGAGGGCAGGTGCGGGTGAGGGCAGGTGCGGGTGAGGGCAGGTGCGGGTGAGGGCAGGTGCGGGTGAGGGCAGGTGCGGGTGAGGGCAGGTGCGGGTGAAGGCAGGTGCGGGTGAGGGCAGGTGCGGATGAGGGCAGGTGCGGGTGAGGGCAGGTGCGGGTGAGGGCAGGTGCGGGTGAGGGCAGGAGCGGGTGAGGGCAGGTGGGGGTGAGGGCAGGTGCGGATGAGGGCAGGTGCGGGTGAGGGCAGGTGCGGGTGAGGGCAGGATCGGGTGAGGGCAGGTGCAGGTGAGGGCAGGTGCGGGTGAGGGCAGTTGCGGGTGAGGGCAGTTGCTGGCGTGCTGGTGCTGGCATGCACGCGGACACGCACCAGCTGGTGCTGGGCGTTGGGGTGGTTCCAGGGGCCATGATGACTGGGCGACTAGCTGTAGAGCGGTGCAGGTGCGTGCAAGAGTACGCACACACTGGGTACTACACAGGGATAACGCACGGAAGCTGGTGGGAATTAGGGTGGTTCCACGGCGCACGGTGCAGCAGTGCAGGTGAGGATGAGATTGCATGGTGCACACACATTGGGACCATGTTGGGACCATGCGCTTGTGGTGCAGCGCTAGTGGTGCAACGCTAGTGGTGCAGTGCCACAGTGATAGTGTAGGGGCAAAAATCCTCAAGCACACTCCTCCAACCAGGAGGAGTGGAGGGGTGAAGTTGTGCGAGGCCCCTGGACGGCTCCAATCGCCCTCACGCCCTCCCCTCACGCATTCACGCCCTCCCCTCGTGCATTCACGCCCTCCCCTCGTGCATTCACGCCCTCCCCTCACGCATTCACGCCCTCCCCTCTGCCCCTCGTAGGTGGATCGGCCCTCACCTCTTCGCAGCAACATTTTCCGACACTCGTTGCTCCGGCCTGCAAGGCCAATGCCTCTTGCTCCTCGCCCTGGCTCTGCTTCTACAGCCCACCTCCTCCCTTCCCAATTTTGTTCCCCCCTCCACTTCCCCCCGTTTGGTGGTTCTGCCAGCAGCCTGTTCTCGCTGGATCGCACTGCACCTCGCTTTCTGGGCCAGCAGCCTTCCTGGCACACCGAGAAGTGCTTATCAAGGCTGCTTAAAACGAGAATGTTCCCACCCTTTCCGTGTTTTCCCCCACAGGTGGTTCGTCCCCAATCTCTCCGCTCTAGAGTCAGTCTAGGAGACTGCATTCTACTCTCAGGGTCAGCAGCTCTCCAGGAACACAGAGGGGGGTATTGAAGATGCTCATCACGAGGATGGTTCCTTCCATTCTTCACTTGCCCTTCCCGTCCTTTCTGCTCTTCAGGTGGTTCGGCCCCAATCTCTCAGCACTGGACTGCACGGCCAATGTCTCGTACTCTCTGGGCCAGCAGACCTCCAAGCACACAGAGGCCGTTATTGAAGCTGCTTTTAACGAGGATGTGCCCAACACTGGAGGCTTCCTTGCAGTGCGCATTGAAGGCACAGACTTTGTGCTCTACAGGTGGGTGATTGAACACCAGTTGCCTTTAGCGAGGATGTGCCCATCACTGGGGGCTTCCTGTCTTGCAGGTGCGTGTGATCCTCCTTTCTGTTTGCCCTTCCCTCTTGGGTGATGATATCGAAGCTGCCTTTAACGAGTATGTGCCCAGCACTGGGGGCTTCCTTGCTCTGTGCATTGAAGGCACTGACTTTGTGGGTGTGATTGTAAGGAAATCTCTAGATGCGTTTTCTCTATAGGTACGTGTGCGCCACAGGTGCATGTGATTATATGATAGTTATGTGCGATTGTAGTGTACCTCTGCCCGTGTACCTTAAATGAGAGACGGTGGAATGCCGCCGGCTGCTAGCAGGTCTTTCATAAGCCGCTGTCAGCCCTAACCACGTCCTCGTCTATCGTCCATTTCCTCCCGGCTTCCTGCTCTCTTGGTCCTGCGTTCCCCCTCCGACCCCCCCACCCCATCTCCCCAGCAAAGCAAGTCGCCCTCTCCTTCCCCTCCACCTCCCCCAGCAAGGTCGTCCCCTTCCTTCCTCTCCCCTCCCACTCCGCGCCTTACTTGCTACAAACGCTCTAGCAGACACTCGTTTAGCGTTCGAACACAATGCTAAACGGACCCAAAAACGCAAACACTCGCTGGGAAAATTTCCGGGCTGCCCCTCCGAAAAAAACGCGGAATTTTTTACCGCGAAATTGAGACTTGGCGAATTCAGCACGACGTTCGCCAAGTCCCAACTCCAAACCAAGTTGTCAAAATTCACCTCCCAACAAACCCCCCCCCTCAACTGCCCGCACTCCACACATCGTCAACTAAAACATCCAACCCCTCCTCCTCACATCTCATAGATCCACGCAAGTTCGCAATCCCCTCCCCCGTCAAAACTGCTTACCCTAACTGCCGCGCGCCATAGCCGTAGCCACTTTTCCACCTTAGCTGCCATACCTTAGCCACGAGATAACACTCAGTTAAGGGCGAGGGTCCATGTCGACGCCTCTTAGCAATGAGGACGCTGCTACAGCGACCGCATCTAATGTATACGAGGCGGATAGGAATCACGAGGTTTCTTCCGCGTTCTAGTCAAGTAGGCCGGTGCCACACAGAAATATGAGTGTCGCTTTTGTGGGCAGAAGATGGCCGGTAGTCCCATATATATGAGGATGCATACTTCAAAATTTCCACGGCTTATTTGGAGCCAAATTGCTTGCTGGCAGAACCCCCATGTTTCCGGTCCCCCACAGGAAATTTTCACCCCTGCCCGGGCAAAAATTTTACCCCTGCCTGGCCTAGCGTTCACAGACACGCTGGTGAGCGTTCAGCGTTTCAAACGCTGGCGTTCAAATGCTAAACGCGTTTGTAGCAACTAAGCTCGGCGCTCTGCCTGCTGCCCTCTGCCCCCAACGCCCCGGTGCCCATGCACCTGCTGCGCCAGACCGAGAGAACACCACTGCCTGCTAGACAGGCCTTCCTCTCCCTCCTTCCCTGTTCTCAAATTTATGTTCTCCTGGCGCATTTTACCCACCCAACCCCCAACAAACCCCACCCCCCACCCCCCACCCCCCTCCCCCTCAGGGAATCTCCCCTCTCCTTCCCCACCACCTCCCCCGGCTCCGCCTTCCCCTTCCACTCGGCGCTCTGCCTGCTGCCCTCGGCGCCCAACGCCTCAGTGCCCATGCACCTGCTGCGCGAGACAGTGGAGTACCACCGCCTGCTGGGGGCGGCGGTGGTGGCGCTGTACGACAGCGGCGCGTGGCACCCTGTGGAGTTCAGGGAGCGGTTTCACGAGGACGTGGACCGCAGAGTGGTCAGGGTGACGGATTTCAAGGGAGTGCAGCGGTTTGACCTGGAAAGAAACGGGCAGGTGAGTCAAGCCGAGGGCAGGTGGAGAACCAGCGCCTGCTGGGGGCGGCGGTGGTGGCGCTGTACGACAGCGGCGCGTGGCACTCTGTGGAGTTTAAAGAGCGGACTCACGAGGACGTGCAGCGGAGCGTGGTGAGGGTGACGGATCCGAAGGGAGTGAGACAGTTTGACCTTGAGAGAAACGGGCGGGCGAGTACACGCCCGCCGCCTGCTGAGGGCGTCTACAATGGCGCTGTACGACAGTGGCACGTGCCTGGGCATGGCACCCTGTGGAGTTGAGAGCGGTTTCATGAGGATGTTGAGTGGAGCGCAGGATGGTGAGGGGTGGCTGACCTCAAAAGGAGTGAGGCTGTTTGACCTGGAAAGGAACGGGCAGGTGAGTCACAGCAAGGGCAGGTGAACCAGACGCACACTCGTGGAAGATGAGACTCTGTTGAAGTGATTTGCTTTGCAGTTGAAGTGGGCTCAACAGCAGTGCACTGAAAATAGCATGAGCTCGACTGCTGTGTCTTAACCATTTTGGTATCAACCCCTTTCCTCCCCCCCATTCACCCCCAATCCTTCCCCTTGTCCTCCCGTGGCCCCCACCATCAGGTGCTAGCCATGCACCACTGCCACTCTTGCCACACCTTCACCTCCTAACAGCGAACCACAAGTTTGTCCTCCATCTCCCCCCCGCTCTCCCCCCCCTCACCCTCTACTCCCACCCCTTTCCACCAGGTGCCAGCCACGCATGCCTTCACCGCCCGCTGCGTCATCCCAGCAGCACTGCATACGTTCCTCTTCTATTGCCCCCCTCCTCCCCCCCTTCCCCCGTCCTTTTCTCTCCTCCCTCTTTTCCGGCCATGCCACCACCAGGTGCTAGCGATGCACGACTGCCTGCACCGCCACACCTTCACGGCGCGCTGGGTCATCCCAGCGGCAGTCAATGAGTTCCTCTTCGTCGGCCTGCCCCCCGCCTCCATCCCCTCCTTCCTCGACCCCTTCGCCTTCCCCCCACCCCCCTCTGAAAACTCCCTCGCCTCCGACCCTCACCTCGACTCCGCCGCTGCTGCCGCGGCCGCTGCAGTAACCGTGGCGGGAGGCTCAGCGGCCGCGGCTGCCGAGGCTGCGGCGTACGTTCGGGCAGTGCCGTGGGTGACGGTGGGGAGCCAGTGGTGGGCGACGAGGCTGTGCTCGCTGCCGTTCCGAGTGGCGGAGGGGATGGCGTTCTCCCTCGAGCGCATGGTGTTCCGCTGGCCATACCCCGTGTGCCACGACCGCGCCAAGTACCCCGACCCGCACGTTTGTGTTGGAGAGGCGGGGTTCAGACGAGTCATCATGGACCCGAGAAAGGTGAGAAGAGAGGGAGAGGGAGAGAGAAAGGTGAGGTGGGATGGGAAGAAGAATTGGATGGTACGCATGCCAGCACTTGATGGCAAGTTTGAGAGTCAGGAGTTAGGACCTTATGGACCACCATTGTCCCATTGTCCCACCATTCCTTCCCTCGCCCTTTTTGTGTCAACTCTCCCCTTGGCCTGTGCAGGTCTCGGCTCTCGGCCGGCACAAGGCGGTGTCACCCTCTCAAGTGGGGGGGGTACACGTGTGAAGCAACAAGGCCAACTTCAGTTCAACCGCCCTGCAGGACGCTCTTATCAGCCCCCTTTCTCCTCTTCCCTCCCTCCTCCCCTGCAGATCTCGGCTCTAGGCCTGCATGAGGCGGTGTCCCCCTCCCGCGTGCGGGGGGTGCACGTGCGCACGACTGTGGCCAACTTCAACCACCTGCAGGACGCCATCATGAACCCCGAGGGGTGGTGCCAGCAGACCCTGCTCAAGAAGGAGGTGAGTGTGACTGAAGGAAGTGAGTGTGACTGAAGGAAGTGAGTGTGACTGAAGGAAGTGAGTGTGACTGAAGGAAGTGAGTGTGACTGAAGGAAGTGAGTGTGACTGAAGGAAGTGAGTGTGACTGGAGAGCCATGTTGGGTAGATGCAGTGGGGAGAGGGGCACAGGCCAAAACCAGGTGGTACGAGCGACGCCAATTTCAACCACCTGCAGGATGCCGTCATGATCCCCATGGGGTGGTGCCAGCAGACGCTGCTAAAGAAGGAGGTGAGTGTGACTGCAGTGGCAGGTGGTTGTAGGGGAATGTGACTATGGGGTGCTGGTGCTGCACGCTAGAGTGTGCAGGAGATGCCATCATGAACCCCACAGGGCGGTGCCAGCAGACCCTACTGAACGAGGATGTGACTGTGACTGGAGTCACAGGTGGTTGTGGGGGAATATGACTACGGTATGCTGGTTTTGCAGAGCAGAGCGTGCAGATGAGAGAGCGTGCAGATGAGAGAGTGGGCAGATGAGAGAGCGTGCAGGATGCCATCATGCACCTGTGCCACCCACGTGCCAGAGTTTCATGTGCCAGAGTTCCATGTGCCAGAGTTCCATGTGCCAGAGTTCCATGTGCCAGAGTTCCATGTGCCAGAGTTCCATGTGCCAGAGTTCCATGTACTCAGGTTGTCGCTTCTCCCACCATACCTGCCACATCTCCCACCATGCTGTGCCAGGTGCCCGAGTTCTATGTGCGCGACGTGTATCTCAGGGAGGCGGCTCAGTCCATCAGGGCTGGCCGCGTCTGTGACTTCAGCAGGGGGCATGTGAGTGGCCCTTCCACTGCTGTGTTTTATTCCTCTCTTTCTGTCATCATGCTGTCTGTGTTGCTGTGTTTCTTTGGGGGACTGCGTTTCGTCTGTGATTTCACCACAACGCGTGATCCGGCACTCCTGTTCTCCCCACTGTAGAACTCTTTTTCCAAACTCCAATGTTGGCCTTTCGTTTGCCTTTCGTTTTCCGGGTACTTGCAGTGTATCCCTGGGCCGGATTAGTCAACGCATCTGCAACACGCCAACTGCAACCAGCTTCCAAACCATCTGCCAAGCAAGGCAGCATTGTTTGCCATTGCGTTTCCAGCCATCTGCCGAGCTGGCCAGGTCTTTCCTCGGTAGTGTTATGTACTTGGTGCGCACTGCTTTGTCACATACAGGCAAGACGGCAATCAGGGTCCTTCCTGGGCCTTTTGCAATATGTAATTTGGCAGACATGCCCTACAGGCTCGTGTGACCCTCAGACAGGCGAGTTTTCATTCCTCGCGTGAGTGTACGAAATACGCGAAGTCTACAACAGCGAGGGTTACCGAATCAACACTGCTACAGTACTCCTGTTGACTCACACAGATTGACGACACCTCACTGAGGTTATGAAAGGGCAACGGTCATGGACCGTTGACCATGCAACACAACAGCCAAAATCGCAAGAGTCAAGAGTCAGTGCGACAGCAAGAACAAATAATCGTCCCGATAATACAGTACAGGTGGTTACCCGAGTCGCCTTATCGAATCGTAAAAAGGGAATGCACCCCTCGAAGTGGACAAACAGTTAGACTCTTCATACCCTGTATTATTATATAAAGCTTGTATCCCTCTGCTATAATCAATCACTTGTTCTCACATACTGTTGACTTATACATATGTTAGTATGTAGAAGTTATAGGCTAGATAAGTGTTTGTTCTTATAGAGTGCAACTCAAACCCTATACCTTGCTTGTTCTCTCTTGTTTCTAATTATTCTAGCATTCTAACATGGTATCATGCGTAGGTTAGGTTAGGTCCCCCCCCCCCACCCGCTTCCGCCCCGCGCCCTAGCCTACCGCGCCTCGCCGACTCCTAGCGCGCCCGCCGGCCCCTAGCGTGCCCGCCGTCCCCTAGCGCCATAGCCGGCCCCTAACGTGCCCGTCGGCCCCTTGCGCCCAGCCGGCCCCTTCGCGACCAGCTAGCCCGCCCCTCGCGCCGTCGCCAGCCCCTTGCGCCTTAGCTGGCCCCTCACGCCTTCGCTGGCCCCTCGCGCCCTAGCTGCCCCCTCGCGCCCTAGCTGGCCCCTCGCGCAGTCGCCCGCCCCTCGTGCCGTCGCTGGCCCCTCGCGCCTGACCGACCCCTCGCGCCCTAGCTGGCCCCTCATGCCTCACCGGCCCCTCGCGCCCTAGCTGACCCCCCGCGCCCTAGCTGGCCCCTCGCGCCTTGCCGGCCCCTCGCGCCTAGCCGGCCCCTCGCCCCTAGTCGGCCCCTACCACCTAGCCGGCCCCTACCACCTAGCCGGCCCCTACCACCTAGCCGGCCCTCACCGCCTAGCCGGCCCCTACCACCTAGCCGGCCCCTACCACCTAGCCGGCCCCCACCGCCTAGCCGGCCCCTACCACCTAGCCGGCCCCTCTTCTGCGCTGACCTCCAGCCCCGAGCGCCCTGCCGGCCCCTCTCCACACGCCGGCCCCTTGTGCGCCTCACCTCCTCGGGCACCTTCCTCGGCCTTCCTTTCGGTTCAATTCCGGAGAGTCGTGCCATTGTGCCGCTGAGTCCCTGTGCCGCTGTGCCCCTGTGTCCCTGTGCCGCTGTATCGCTGTGTCCCGGTGCCGCTGTGGTTGAGCGATGGTGAACGCCATGCTATGTCTGGAGGCGGAGGGGCACGCAATCGACTTCGCCGCCTGGCTTGTCGATCTCTGCCGGCACCTAACAGGTCAGCGCCAGGATGGGCACTCCCTGGCTATGCATGTTGATGGCTTCCTTCCTCGCCCCTCCACCCCTGATCCCCTCCCTGCTGACCCCACCACTGCTGAGACTGAGGCCTTTGCTACTGCTGCGCTCGCTCGTGCTGTCTGGAATTCTCGCGATGCTGTAGCGCAGCTTGCCATTAGTCATGCGCTTCCCTTGTCTGAGCGTCCGCGTTTCACTACTGTCGTGAACGCCAAGGATTTCCTAGATGCTGTAGTTGAACGCTACTCCACACCTGCTTCCGCCTCAACTGGACGCTTGATCCTCCCCATTCTCTTCCCTGATCTCTCTGCTTTCCCCACTGTCGCTGATCTCGCCACTCACCTCCGTGCACTAGAGACTAGCTATCGCGCTGCTAGCACTACTGCCCAGCACACTGCTTTTCCCCCGCCTTTCTGCGCTACCCTGTACCTTACTGCCATGCGCCTGCCTGACTGCTTAGCCACTGCCCGCGACCACTTCCTTAGCCAACACCCTGGTGACCTCACCCTGACCGCTTTTGTCACTACCCTTTCTGAGATAGAGACTCGCCTGCGCACTATCGCTTAGTTGAGCGGTGTTGCGGTAGTCCCTATCTTTCAAGGCTGTGCTCCCTCCCAGTGCACGTACACAAACGTTTCAGCTACGGTCGCTACTGCTGCTCCTGCCGCTGAGACAGCGGCGGCAGCCTTCCCACAGCAGCAGCGATAGCGCCGGGGCCGTCGCGGCCCCAAGGGAGGGCGTTGTGGTGGTGGCGGCGACGGTGGTTCTAACGAGGGGGCTGGGGCAGGCGTCCAGGAGCAGCAGCAGCAGCAGCCGCCGCAGCAGCAGCAGCAGCAGTCGCAGCAGCAGCAGCACTAGCAGCCGCCGCAGCAGCCGCAGCCGTAGCAGCAGCAGCCGTGGGCCCACCTCCCGCCAGGGTGGCCGGGAGCCCCTGGAGGGGGTGGCCGAGGTGGCGGTCCTCGCAGCTCGGCGTCTACCGGCAGCTTCGGTGCTGTGGGCTGCCAGAACCAGCTCTAGACCGGTCCCCTTTGTGGCACAATGTGCCGCTGTCCGCACCCGACCGCCCGCTGCTTCCTCCGCCTCGACGATCTCTTTCGTCGCCGCTTCGGCCCGGCCCCGAACCTCCCTAACTGGCCCAGTTTGCTGCGCCACGGTGTGCCTGTTTTTGACCTAGACATGGATCAGCTTAGTTCTGCCTTGCATTTGCTGTATGTTGACGCTTCTAGTGTGTCCGGATCATATTACCGTGTGTTCATTCCTCCTCGCTTCGTCCTTCCACTGCACTCCTTCAGACCCTGCACCTGGACGTTTGGGGCCCAGACCCCGTCCCTGGACCGCGTCGTGAGCGCTACTTTCTAGTGCTCGTGGACGACTACACGCGCTACACCACAGTGTTTCCCTTAGAGCAGAAGGCCGACGTGCCTGACTTTCTCATCCCGTGGGTCGTGGCTGCCCGCCTTTACCGCGGTCTCCCTGTGTTGTGTCTCCACTCCGACCGTGGCGGCAAGTTCGCTTCTGGTCGGCTTGGTCAGTTCTGTCGTGTGGAGGGTATCACCCAGTCGTACTCCCTACCGGATTCCCAGCAGTAGAATGGGGTCACTGAGCAACGCATCGGCTTGGTCATGGAGGTGGCTTGTACCTCCATGATTCATGCCGGTGCACCCCATGTTCTGTGGCCGTTCGCCGTTCGCTACGCCGCTCACCAGCTTAACGTTCGCCGTTTGTACCCCATTTTTTGGGTTCCCTGGTGACGGGTCCGCGTTCCATGTCTGGGGCTGCCTCGCTCACGTTCGTGCCTCTGGCACGAACAAGTTCACTGCTCGCACTGTCCCCTGTGTCTTCCTCGGTTTCCCCCTGGACTCCTCTAACTGGCACTTTTACCACCCGACGTTTCACTGCTTCTTTCACTCCCGTGACGCCACTTTCGACGAGTCTGTCTCCTTTTACCACCGCTTTCCCCACCGAGGTCTCCTGGTTCCCCCTCCCCTGTTTCTGGTCCCCACTCCCCCAGTAGCCCCTGCTCACCTTCCTCCTCGTCCTGCAACGTCTGGTGTGTCTCACGTCACTCCCCTACCGTCAGTTGTCCTGCTCGAGGAGTCGGCTGACTCCGGTGGCCCTGCGGTGCAGTTCTTGCCACCCGTCTCTCCCCCGGTGTCTCCTCATCGGTCGCAGCCAGCACCGCTGCAGCAGACGCCGCCACCGCCGCAGCAGACTCCGCCACCGTCGCAGCAGACGCCGCCGCAGCCGCCGCTGTTGTCGCAGCAGCAGCAGCCGTTCGTGGCCTCTTGGGGTGCTGGCATTGAGGAGGGTGCTAGTCCTGGGGTTACTGTCGTGGATTGTCCCGGCAGGCTTGGGGGTGGCACCGGTGCTGGAGAGAGATCTCGCTCCGAGGGTGCTCGTTTTGCGGGTGCTAGAGTGGAGTGTCCAGAGGTAGCCGTGGTGCAGCTGGCGGTCCATGTGTCGGCGCCGAGCAGCAGCAGCAGCAATCGCCGCCGGTGTCCGCCCTTCGCCTGCTCGGCCTTTCCTCCCCTAACCACTCGCCTATGCCTCCCCCGCCGCCTCCTCCCCTTCTTGTCCACGGTCCTGTGTTTCCTCTTCCGGACTCGTCCCTGGCTCGTTTCCCACCTCGTTCCCCTCCTGTTACTCCTCCTCTATCTCCTGACCCGACGCCTCTGTCTCACGTCTGGTCTCGCCGTCCTTCTCGTGCTTGTTTTGTCTCCCGTGTTCCGCATTCTCACCCTATGTTGCTTCGTTCTCACGCGTCTCGTCCTCCCCTCCTGCCTTCGCCTCCTCCGTCGTCGCTCGCTGTCGCGCCTCCCCCTCTGTGTGACTACCTTCGTGCTGCTTGTCCTCTTGTTCCTCAGGTCCTTGCCTCCCTTGTTACTGACCCGTGCGTTCCTCTCTCGCGTCTTGATGCTCTTGTCGCTGCTGTCGCTGACTTCGCCTCTACCCGCCGCCTTGACTACGCCACCGCTCTTGTCTCTGACCCTGTCCGTCCTCCGTCCGTCGGGGTGATCCTGCCCTTGGCAGTGACGTCCTAGAAGACAGGCAGTACAAGCTTGCTTTCCTATCCGGGGCTGCTCCCCATCTCTGCTCCATGCTGCTAGTCCCTGAGGGTGACCCAGACGCCTTTGACATCCCGACCCCTCGCACTTACGCTGAGGCGACCTTGGGACCCTCGGCCTCTTAGTGGACAGCTGCAATGGAGCAGGAGATGGCATCTTGGAGATCCACCGGCACCTACGTCGACGCAGTTCCTCCACCTAGGGTGAACGTAGTCGATGGCCTGTGGCTCTTTAAGGTGAAGCCCCCCACTGAAGAGCCGCATGCTACGTGGCTAGAGGCTTCAGTTAGAAAGAGGGCGTGGACTTCTTTCAGACCTTCGCCCCGACCCTCAAGATGACTACTCTTTGGGCACTGCTACGCGTAGTAGTACAGCGTGACTACGAGCTCCACTCCCTCAACTTCTCCACTACTTTTCTTCAGGGCAGCCTACACGAGTAGGTCTACCTGCGCCGACCAAAGGGCTTCACTGGTACCTTCCCTCCTGGGACCCAGTGGCTCCTTCGACGCCCGGTCTACGGCCTGTGACAGGCGCCCCATGAGTGGCACGACACGCTGCGTGCTACGCTAGCTGACCTGCAGTTCTTTCTGTCCTCTCCAGACCCTTCGCTCTTTGTTCATGCTGGCCAGACTCTGTTCTATATCCTTGTCTACATAGACGACCTGGTCTTCGCTACTGCAGACAGAGACGCACTGGCCTCTGTGAAAGCCGAGCTGCTGAGGAGACACACCTGCACTGACGTAGGAGAGCTGCACCGCTACCTTGGCCTACAGATTTCTAGGGACAGAGCAGTGCGCACCATCACTCTCACACAGTCACACTTTGTGCGCCAGGT